TTTTTTTTTTTGGCAGCCAATTAAAAAGCCCATTCTTGCGGGTCAGATGTTGCCATTTTGTGTGATTGAAGACAGTAGCTGGTGAGCGAAGCTCTCGACAACAAGCGAGACAGATGTGGATTTGGGCAGAAATGGCAGTCCTTGTTGCCACAAATAACCCCCGGTAACGCATGACTGGTCTCGAGCCGTTCTCCACACAGTGATGGTGCCAGTCTGACATTGTGCAGCATCCCCTCTCCACTAGGAAGCATCTAAACAGTTAGGCAGGAGGGAGGCAGAGTGAAATGAAACCAATGGTGTTGAGGGGTGGTGGATGCAGACAATTGGGGGCTTTTCTAGAATTATAAGGAGATGGTTCTTGTCATCATTGTTTCTTTTTAATTCCTCTTTTATTGGTTTACTTTAATTAGGTGTGTGTTGACTGGTAAGTGTGTGGATCGTTCTGGGCCCTGCACCTAAATAATTGCTGTACAATAAAGTGTTTTGATGATTTTGTGAACGCAAAAAAAGATGGAAAGTTCAGTCAGCAATTCTCATATTTGTCCTAATATATTAACCGAGTGTTTTACAAAAGCAGGCAGTTGTGTAATGATGTTTTTTTTTTCTGCTCTCAAGTTAAATATGAACTAGTTCAAGAGACTGAATCCACTGGGAGGGCAATTTGTTCTTTGTGTGTTACATTCACACGGTAACTTAATGAGTGGACATTATTTTAGAAGCGTGTGTATTATTCAGAGAGCTGACCGAGAGAGAGGGAGGTGCAGGAGCCTATCCTATCCGTCCTCCCTCAGACCTGAGCTGCTGGTGAGCCGAGTTATGTTTGTGCTGCAGAAACAAGCCTCCTTTTCTTTGGTTTTCAGTCTGTCGGAGAGAGAGATGGAGAGAGAGGGAGGGAGGAGAATTTAGAACGGTTCAGAACAGTTCAGTGACTCTCTGTCTGTCCAAATGATTGCAGAGTCCCTGTGGTGTCCCTATTAAAAGATTGTCAAGACGATATAAGAGGATTTTTCTGGTGTGCCTGTGATGGTAATACTCTAGCGGAGCTGTGTTCATGAGCTGAAAAAGAAAAAGCAGTCTGCAGGCTCAGCTCATAGATATTGTGAGATCGCCCCTGACCAGTTTATGGATCAGGTTAAGATGGTATAGTAAGTTATTTTCTTGAGTTTCCTGATGTACTACTACAAACAAAGTATGGTTGTCTTTTACCATTATAATAATCTGAAAAGTCCATTGCATCCTGCATTTCCTACAAGAATCCGCCCCCCCCGTCTCCGTTTGGACTAGTGAGCTGAGCACCCAAATGACAGCCATACGAAAGATCTCATACGACAACTTTCACACGTCTCAAAATACACAGAGGAGGCTCCGCAGAGCTGAGTCGTCCTGCTCGCGGTCCTGCAGTGCTGAGTCAGCATATCTCAGAAGCTCTCTAGCTGTCAGCGTCCATCCTCGTCTCTGTCTCTCTCCTCTCTGCTCGTCCTGATGGGAAATACCGCGAGTTTAGCCTCCGCACATCTACGTGACTGACTCAAGGCTACTCTCCCTCTCTTTCTGACTCACTCGCCCTCCATCCCTCCTTCCTCCTCTGATCATCCTCTCCCTCCTCTGTGCAGCTTGTGTGAGGGTGCTCTTAAGCTCTAACAAGCGCTGAAACTAAGTCCTGATACAACACCTTCTAAGGCTGTCACAATTGCAGACATACACCTGAACACACACACACACACACACACAAATTGATTGACTTATCCCGGCCGAGCAACTTCACATCTTCCCTGAGTAACTTTATACACAGTTATTGACATCCTCGCGGCTGCTTCCTCGCCCGTTTTAGTAATTGAATTGTTTGATCTTGCATGGGCCTTTGAGTAAACAAAGAGTCGGTGTGAAGAAGGAGCGTCTCGCCCCCTCCTGACAGTCTCTGGGGTCTTTTGAAGTGCATCCCTGGCCTCGACACATCACACCAGACAGGAGGATGCCGTTCGGAAAAGGCAAGGCCACCTGTCCTGCCCTGGGGTGACAGGAGGTGTGTGTGCGCGTGTGTGTAAAGTGAAGACGCTTTTTTAGTCAGCGAGGTGGGTGGAATAAAAAGCAAGGAAAGGGTGAGAGGAAGGAAGTGAGCTGGTCAGGGTATGGGAGCTGGGGATGATGCATGATATAGGAGGACAAAGAAAACAGATGACTCCATGAATGATGCATAGCTTTCTCTCCTCATTTAACTCTTCCGGGCAATTTGATTATGCAGGTAAATATAAAAAGGCTGTATAAGTGAGAGATGAAATGGGAGAGAGAGAGAGAGCGAGGGAGTCGGGATAAGAGGAGGGGTGTGTTGCTTTCTGCATGAAAATGAATTTGCTTGGTAAGAGGACAAGAGTGTTTCTGGTCTGTGTGTGTGTGTTTGTGTGTGTGTGTGCGTGTGTGCGTGCTGATGATAAGCAGGCGAGAGGAAGGGGAAGCTGAATTAATAAATGGAGAGATGAAAATAGGAAAGGCTCAGCGGGAGGCTTTTATACACTGAAAAGTTGACAGTAGTTTTGAAATAGCACTCCTCTCATTGTTGCTGCTGTCAGCATGTTTATACTTCGCCTCGTGCGGAAGGAAATGAAAGGGCTGTTATGAAGACGATAAAGGGCAGCCTCTAAGCCTCTCCCGGATCGCCAGCCAGCCTGTCTGCAATGACTCAGGTTTGAGGTCGTGTTGAAGTAAAAGGGGCACCGGCGGTGAGGGAGCCGAAATGTGCCAGGATCGCTTGTCTTCAGCTCTTTGGCTTCCCTCAGTATCATGGCTTGTGAGGACGGACATGTGTCACGCACAGAGAGTCGATATTTGTCAAGTATGATGTGTGTGAGAGAGCTGAGAAACGTTTCTGTGTGTGTGTGTGTGTGTGTGTGTGTGTGTGCGTGTGCGTGTCTTGTATCGCTCTCCTCTCCCGCCTCTCGCGTGTGTTGTCAGCAGTGGGCAATGTGTCTTCTGTGGCTCTCTGTAATAAAGCAATTAATCACGTTCGCTGTTTGCCACAAACATGCCGCGCTGCACTCGCTGCAGGATGTCTCTCTCTCTCTCTCTCTCTCTCTCTGTCCCAGGATGCAACATCAGATGCAGCTCACTGGAGGGGAATGGGAAGCGTCCCACGCCTGGTGTTGGCTGTGTCCGTGTGCACTGAATATTTTGTGTGAACACATACAGTATGTACAGTATGTGAGATGATATTAATGCATGAGGCTCTGTTGAAACTGAACATGCTGCTCCAGAGTAAGAGATGTTGTTGGGACTGACTGCAGAGGAAAGTAGGCAGGGATATTGCGTTTCCTCAAAATTTAGAATTTAGAATTTTCATGTTTTTGTGCTTTTGTTATATCTATTTGTACTTTGAACATTGAGGATTAGTTACCATCTCTGAATCTTTAAGTAGGAATGCAATTGTTTTTGACACGGTAAAGTTGGCCAATATGGCCGAAAAATAATATCACAATTCTTTTCACATCACACATGATTTCCAATTTGAAATCAATTTCTTTTGTTTAAACAATCTAAGCCTACAAAAGACATTTTAAACATTATATCATACAACATTTAGAAAAGCAAGCAGACACACAGATTTAGGAGACCATACAGCAAATATACCATTTTAATTAGCTAGTCTATTAATTGTTTAATTGTTTGAGTTCTGTTGTACAGTACACTTACTTCTACAAATCCAAGTCCTCACCAAACTGGTGCTGGAACGTTTGCTCATTTAATTGGTTGGTTGACAAAGATTGATTAACAGCTTTGATGAATACTTTAAGTAATTTATCACCAAAAGTGCCAATCGTTCTCTGGTTCCTCCTTTTTTAATATCACAGGGGTGCCCTACTTTAGAACAGTTTATAGATCAACTGGCTAATCAAAAGAAAAATCAATCAATAGATTAAATCACTAATAAAATAATTAGTTGCAGCTTTCAAACGGCCACATTTGATACGTTTCTTTTTTTTTTTCTATCAGTCTTCAATTTCAGCATTCGTCTATAGAAATTCAAGGACACGCTCACGCATGCACTTTTTCCCATACACATGCAACCTATTCAGTCGGTGTGAAAGGTAACAGCGGCACATGTTGAAGTCGGGTGCTGCGCTGTACGGCGCGTCACACTTGACTCCCCAAGCTGTCTAATGTGCTCTTATTTTGCCATAAATCCCCTTTAGCTGATGTCAGCTGGTTTTGCACAGCTCCGTGGTTATAATGCATAAGCAATGAGAGACTGTCCATCATCTCACATTATGGTCCATTGAGGAGATGGCTAATTCTAATTTCGAAATCATACTCTGACTTTTCTATGCAGTCAACGGTGCTGGCAACCTCTTCCATTCAAGCTGAGTAGCCGTTTCAGTGAACAACATGGTATTTATCAGTGAAAAGCCACACGTGATAAATCAAGATTTCTCTGTAGAAAGATAGCTTGAAGCTCAAGTTAATAAACTTTCTAAGGCCTCACCAAGAGCCAGATTGTTCCAAAGTAATAGAAATGTAAAAGCTTTCGAGTATCTCATTTATCTTTGTTCCGTTCACTTACGCATGTGCACAGTATTGATTTAGGAGTGCTGTCTTTGCAGAATTTCCACGCATCCTTTAATGGAACGCTCTTATTACCGCTCTTTCCTTCTCCTGTCTTTTTCCCGCTACATCACCCTCAACTCTTTCAATCTCTGCCTGCCACTCTCGCTCGTCTGTTTCCATCCGCACATACTGTAAGAACCTTCTGCACTACAAACTCTCTCTCTCACACACACACACACACACACACACATGCTTCTTCATTCGATCAACTCTCCAAACTCTTCTGTCTGCTTTATTTCCTTTAAATCCTTCTACACTTTTCCCCAATCTTCACTTTCCTCTCTGTTTCCTCTCTCCTCTACCTGTCTCATCTACTCAATTTAGTTTTATCAAACTGTGCGCAATATTCATAACAAGTTCTGAGGATAGGTTCAATTGTCTCTCTGTGTCTGTCCCCTCTCCAGACTTGGACTTTCGCTACTTCTGGAAGTGGAGCGCGTTCGAGGACTACCTGCTCTTCTGCTTCGGCTTCACCGTGCTGTGTGCCATCGTCACCCTGCTGCTGCTGGACTCTGTCATGTTTGTGGAGACGCTGGGCTCCCTGGCCGTGATGTTTGAGGCCATGCTGGGCCTCCCGCAGCTGCTGCAAAACTTCCACAACCGCTCCACCAAAGGCATGAGGTAAAGCATGCTTTGAGGTCAAGCGGAGCTGTGCCGGAAGCTCATATGTCACTGTACTCACATTGGCATACAGTGGCACACTGCCACAGAGCTTCATTAGTGCTCCCTAACTTCTCTTAGAAAGTATTCTCATTAACCTTAATGTCCAGGGAGAAAAAGTCATTTATATTCTCATGAACAAATTATGCTAATAAGGTCATTTATAATCATTAGAGCAGTGAGTCAAGGTTTGGATAAACCCAGTTATAAACAGATATCCAACAGTTATCTATCCATTTCATTTAAAGGGTAAATGCATTACTAATGACGAACAGCAACACACTGATTTAACATAACAAATTGTGGAATGTGGCATACGATCCGACCTTTCCGACCTCATGTTTAAACTACAATAATGGCGGAAAACTACATAGAAAAATATATAAGGTGATGATAATACTGTAAAATAACAACTTATCTGTTATCCCTTCTGAGAAATGTTCTCGATAGTATTATTACAAACAACATTTTGAGGTAATTCCAGAGGTTAAGACTGTACTCGTATTAAACACAAGGTTACCTTGAATGGAGAGAGGAAGTAGAGGGTGAAGGAGCGGGACAAAAAAAAGGTATAGCTTGCATTGTTTTATGTTTTTCTTGTTAAGACTATTTCACAGTGTACAAAGGTCAATGTCTACATTGATTAGCCTGTCAGGTAGAGGACTGTGAGAGCAATTACATTCCTAATGGCACAGAACCTCATGCTAATTATGATCATCATATCCTCATTATGTCTCGTCCGTCATCAGTGCATAAAACATACATGCATTGTGTGTGTGTGGGGGGGGGGGGGGGGGGGGGGGGTGTAGTCGTATGCTTTGCTAGTCACTCATCCCTGAAAAGAGACTGTCGAGACAAAGATATTTCCAAATATTCCATAAAGCAAAAATATTTCAGAAATATTTCAGTTTTTCTCTCTGGGACACAGACCCGTCATTTTGTTTTCAGTAGATATTCAGGAAGTATGTACGTCAAACAGACATAAGTTATACCACGGGAATATGATGATGATGATCCTAAAATTAGGATTTTGCGGTGACAGTTTTGTTTTCCTTATTTTGAATCAAAGTTCTTTCATACACAAATGCAATACATGCAATACGTGAAAATAAGTGTTTTTAATGGCTGCAACCTATGATACATTTAATTGTTGATTAACATGATAGTTGTTTTTTAGGTTTATCAAGTAAATATTTGCTCTAATAAATGTCAGAAAATCATTAGAAAAATGCCAATTACAGTTTCCTCTCTCTCAAAATGATGTAATTGAATTTCTTGTTCTGTCCGACCAACAGTCCAAACTTTGAAGTGTTTAGCATTGTTGTTGCTTGAACATGACTAAAAGTTTACTGCCGCGCTAGCTTTGAGTTAAATGCTAATGTCAGCATGACAACATGCTCACAGTGACGGTGCTTACTTGCTCAGGTTTATTTTATTTGAGTTAGCAGATTTGCTTATTAGACAATCACTCAACACAAAGTACAGCTGCAGCTGATGGAATCGTTGTTAGTTTTGGTCATAAACCAAAATATCGGACACATTATTGCAATTCATCCTGACCTGGACATGAATGTGTGTGTGCACATTTCTTGGCAAAGCTTTCCGTTTTTAAGATATTTCCGTCTTTACCAGACTGGTGGACAGTCCTGTAAATAAATATAAAAAGATATTTATTTGTATTTTATTTATTTTTTTGATGATTCCCCAGAATTGCCTTGAATCATGAGGGCGGTGTATATGTTTTCACCACAGACAAGTGACAGGTGTGTCATCTACTGTATTTTCCACACACTGCAGTCTTCCAAAATTCTTTTTTAAAGTGCCAGTGTGTATCATTTAGGGGGATCTATTGGCAGAAAAGGAACATAATATTAATAAATATGTTTTCTTTAGTTTATCATCACCTGAAAATAAGAATCGCTAATATCTACATTTGGAGGAGATCCTCCTCACAGTAGCTTTTATGCTGAGACACACCCTGAGGAGAATCCAGTCAAGCCTGTGCATGTTTTGCCTCATACCACACATGCATCCATAGAAACAAAACTAAAAATAAGCCGTGAATATACTTTGGTTTCAAAGTCTTCACATGCAGCGGTGTACTTAAATATGCAGCAGTATAGGTGATTTACTGTATGAATGGCATGATGTTCTTCCTCTGTGATATGCCCCATTTCACATAAAGTATCCTCAGGGTGCACATCTGGGCTTGAACTTCCCGTGAGCATCCATCCAACTCAATACTACATCAAAGATTAAATATGCAATAACACTGCATTAGGCCTCTGAGATGACTGATGAAGAAGTCAGGAACATCAATTCGCTAAATTCCAATCTATGGCACAGTCCCTGCATACTCAATGATGTGATGATATACTATGAACCACCAAAACAACACTTTACATTATGATATAACTCTTTCCAGAAAATACCGTAATTAGTATTAGCATTAGTATTAGTATTAGTATTATTATTTATTAGTATTATTATTATTAGCATTAGTATTTTCTAACCTTTTTGCTCTCGATCTCCCGGCCTAATTGGACGAATGACCCTGCAGGGACGGAACCAGCCCATTCAACACTTCCGTCTCTTTGCACATTACATGATTTAGATCTTTTGACCCTCGTCACGTGTACTTAAGGACTCTTCCATTTGTTCAGTTGAGCTTGAGCAAACTGTTTTTGCAGATATGACGATGCAGCACGTAGTCTGCACTTCCTCTCATGCTATCCCATGTGAAACAGTTACATGTTATTGTTCCGTCAGATTCCCCTGAGTCCTATTACTAAGGTGAGATGGTGAGTGTATGGATCCATTTAATCAAGGACTGCTCACCTTTTCCAGCTCGTCTAATGATCACCTTCACTCAGATGCACGGTGTGGGAGACACACACAGGCAAGTTCTATCGTGCTCAGCCTATAATTATGCTGCTTGGTCACTATTGACAATTTGCACATGTGTGTGTGTGCGCACACATGCACATTCATACCACAACTCCAGGGAAACGGAGGAAGGGAGAGAGTGGTGATGGAAAGATACCAGAAAAGAGACAGAGAGTCTATCTATAGAACAATCTATGTGATTATGCTAGATCATTTAGCAACCATGGTAACACATATGCAGATCAGTACAAAAGTCAAAAGTGAAGAATGGTTAAATCAGGTTTGTTGAGCATGTGTCCTCCACGTATTTTGGCAGTTCCTCAAAAAATGACCCAGCCTGTCTCACAATAGCTTTTTTTAATTTTTTTTTTGATTAATTGATTTTTTTAACAATAAGTTTCTCCTTCCCCATTGTGATAGCTATGGCCCAATGAGAAGAGGTTAAGGTAGTGGAGCCGGGAAGAATCTGAAACAAACAGTTGCCTCTGCTGAGCAAAGTTTTTCGGGCCTTAAGCTAAACCTACATGCGTTGCTCAATGGGACAGTAATGTCCAAGCGGTCTTGCTGTCCTCAGCATCAATGCAGAACTCGCTCAGAAGCTGCCAAATGATGACCTCTGTCGAGCCTCACGCAACTGCTGAAAAACAGCTGTCCTACAGTTCTTCCATGGTTTAATATACTTTTGTGACTTTCTGTTTTGTGTGACTAATTGTATAGTTCTGCTTTTCTTATTCGTATTTATTCATTTTCACAACAGCAGCATACATTGATAATGAAAATATATTTTTTCTTCAACTAATCTTGGCCCCAGCTTTACATAGAAAATAATGGCTGTTGCCAGTGGGTTTATGGGCTTTACGCAGCTCTGCTTCAGATGTGTCCCGAGTTCTTGACATTTAACGAAATTCATTGCCATTATGGAGAAGAATACACTATTCTATTGGAAGGATTGTGTGTATAAATGTGTTTGCAAATGCACTCAAAATTGCATGATGCCTTACTTTATTTGTTTTCTCCACAAATAAGAATAACGCATCCATAAATTCCTTCACACAAATACAACCAAAAGGCTAGACACAGCAAAAACACCCTAAATTGCTCCTCTCCAAATCTCAACCACGTACTGTAGAAACAAAAGAACATGTGAGTTCTCAAAACACTGTCTCGTCTTGCCCCAGGAAAGTAGAGGGCTTAATTTAACAGTGAGAGCTACTGCACGGACCAATGCAATGGCTTTGATCGTGTTAACTATGCCCTAGCAAACACTATTATATGTGCTCTGCTTACGCAATATGCAATGTAGGCACGCAATGCATGTACGCTCTCATGCCATGCATACACGCACATATCTCAGAGAGAGAAACACAAAATACAATTGAAGAGCCAATCCCTGAATGAACTCTAGTTGTCCCTGTAACTGTGAAAAGAAAACATGCACTATTGTCGGTGATGGAAGTGGTCGGGTTGATAGAGAAAATCCAGTGATCTTGTCAAATTGTATTTAAAATGATAAAATCTTTCTGCTGTATTTCCATCATACTTCCTGTTATCAGCTCCTGTAAAGACTTGGCTTCTTTTATATGCACAGTCACAGATATATTCAGGATGTTCAATGAGATACCACATATAAACACACATTTTATATACAAAATAGAGCTGCACGATAGTATTATTACCTTTTAAATTTCAGATTTTTGGAGATTTTTTGTGCTACAATTTACAATGATACAAAACAGAAAAGGAACAAATCCTTACACTGCAAGAGTTGAACACATTGAATGTCTGACAGTTTTGCTCTGATCATAATTTAAAAGATTTTACCGTTATTTGAAAAATGTTAGTTATTTGTTGTTGATCAGCTAATCTAATGTTTATATTATTTACAGCAAACCAGAACAAAGCACATGAATGTTTTTTATATTATCAGATATTCTGACACACGCAAACAAGTTATCACATGCTGTTGTCTAGCGCTGTAATAATCTTCATTTTCTAAGTCAACTCTGAGTTGCCAGTTAGGCAAGTACTTATATTACTTCTCTTATTAATCAACGTGCACCTCGGAGCATCTCTCT